ACATAGTAAACAACAAGGCTCTAAGAGGTGATACCATCTTACAGTCAACCGACGGAACAACACAGGGGGACCCTGTTGCAATGGCAATGTATGCAATTGGCCTATCAGTGCTCCAACATGAAATAAAATTTGAAACAACTGGGGTCAAACAAGTGGCATATGCTGATGACCTTACAGGAGCAGGAAAAGTGGAGGGCATCAAAAAGTGGTGGGACTTGGTAACATCGCGAGGTCCACAAATAGGGTACCACCCAAACGCCAGCAAGTCCTTCCTCATCGTGAAGCCAGAACATTATGAACGGGCAATTGAGATTTTTGGTGGAAGTGAGGTCAAAATAACTATGGACGGCCAAAGACATCTAGGCACAGTAATTGGCACTACGGACTTCAAGACCGAGTACGTAGCGGGAAAGGTGAATGAGTGGGTTAGTGAAATCCAAGCTCTGTCTGAGGTTGTTAACACAGAGCCACGTGCGGCCTTTGCTGCATTCACCCATGGAGTCAAGCATCGTTGGAACTACCTGATGCGTACTATCCCTGATATCGGACCCCTCCTCCACCCTCTGGAAGAAGTTATCAGTGTCAATTTCATTCCTAAATTAGTGAAACACCCTGACTCAACCCCAGCAGAAAGAGCACTTCTTGCACTTCCACCAAGACTGAGAGGGATGGGACTAACCAATCCAAAGGAGATTGCTGCCACCGAACATCAAAATTCACTTAAGCTCATGGCAGCCCTCACGGACCACATAATAGCCCAGAATGCAACAGGGGAGGTGGATACCAGTGAAGTAAATAAGATTCGTAGGTCCATTACGACAGATCGACAGCACTGCCAAAATGATAAGTTACAGCAACTGTTGCTGCAGGTACCAGAAAATTTGAAAAAAAAAGTAGCTATAGTGCAGGAGGTGGGCGCCTCGAACTGGTTAACTACGATACCGATAAGGGCAAATGGTTTCAGTCTTAATAAACAAGAATTTACAGATACCATTGCTCTAAGGTACGGTCGGCCAGTAGAAGGTTTGCCCTCCCAATGCGTGTGTGGCTCTTCCTATGATGGCGATCATGCCATGGTGTGCAAGAAAGGGGGCTTCATATGCATGAGGCATGACGAGGTAAGGGACCTCACAGCAAATATGTTGAAGGAAATCTGCCGGGATGTCATGGTAGAACCGACCCTCCTTCCATTGGATGGTGAGATCTTCCAACGCAGGACTTCAAACACATCTAACGAAGCCCGTGTGGACGTCAGTGCTCGAGGATTCTGGACGCGGGGACAGCAAGCTTTCTTCGACATCAGGATTTTTGATCCCATGGCCACATGTCACCGTAACCTAGCTCTCGATGCTGCACATAGGAGGAACGAGAACGACAAGAGAAGGGAATATGGAGAGAGAATTCAAAACGTTGATCAAGGCAGCTTCACTCCTCTAGTGTTCACAACCTCTGGTGGGATGGGACCAAGTGCAAGATGTTTCTACGCCAGACTCGCGGAGGCGATCTCCAAACAGAAGCAGCAGCTCAGAAGTTACATTACAGCCTGGATGAGATGTCGACTGTCTTTCTCTCTCCTTCTGTCGGCTTTGCTCTACCTCAGGGGAACGAGAGCTTCTGCCCCAATCCCGACAACTGCTGCAGATATTGACTATGAGGCTACAGTCACTGAATGCCGCATAGATCTGCGGCTCAACTAATTCAACACAAATAGGATAGCTACTTATGTATTAGGATATTTAATATTAAGGTAATAAAATGGTGGCGAAGGTGTGGCTATTGGGGGAGGCTGGAGGCCATGTTTTAAAAAAAAAAAAAAAAATAGTAGTAGTAGTAGTGTGTGTGTGTGTGTGTGTGTGTGTGAACGAATATTTAGGGTCAAGGCGTTGTAACTTAGATTTGAATGCTTCCTTACCTGTCTGTATGCCTCTGCATCTGTACACTCGCACATCTTCACTATTACTTTATCAGCAACCAGCAGCAAACACCACCGCTAATTTACTTTTATTTTTCTTGGTTAAGGCGGGGAAAGGATGTAAGGCATGCTGAGGCTCAAGGCACAGCCACACCTTAAGGATGGAGAAGTCAGGACAGATAATCGTGGGGGCAAAGGTTGGAAAGAAATTTAATGAGTTAAACGGAGGGGGACGACACCCCTTGTTTTACATATCACAGAGTTTGTTGGATAACGAAGCAAACCTAGGATTTAGGATGAGGTTTCACAATGGCTGCTTTGGCTGGCAATGACTCTCTTGATTTTACAATTACATGTTTATTAAAATACGATTACTGTATTACGCTATAGACTCTCCAAATTGTGATTGTTAAATATGATCTTATGTCATCTGAGTTTTAATCTAAGGTGGATCGTTGTGACGGACATAGATGGGTTGGAGGTTGGGTTGTTGTAGTGCGAGCAGACTCCGGGCCACTAGGCGTGGGGTCTCCCTCCGATGATGTCTTCCCCGCGTAGGTGGTTTGGGCTGTGAGGGTCGTCCAGGTACTTGTCCCAAACCTTCTTCCCTAAGCGATAAAACCTGATGTTGAGAGCCTCCGTTTTATTTCTCAGGTGGATGGTTTCCACTGTCTCCTGGTTGGATGGTGCTTGGCCACTGGCTGACCTCAGACACTAGTGTACCTATTCACTGATATATCATCACTAATACTTTATTAGTAAATACTTGTTCCACTATCTATAATCATTTTTACATTTATCACAAGTTGCACCTGCATTATTACTGTGTTCATCAGATCAAGTTTGACACTCCCAACATCTTCGTGCGGGGGCTAAGGACCTCTACCATCCAAACGAACGACCCCATGCATGCCCGTCCTGACGTTTATCAGGTACTGTAGTATACTAACAGATTTGACATATTAATGAGTTGATCTCCTGAGAAGTAGATAATAGGACTGTATGAATTAATTGGTACAATCATTCATAAATAAGCATCATCACATTTGTAACTGTTCCCTGGTCATATTCTCTCACTGCGGATATGTTATTATTTGGTCAAATGTAATGATAAACTTTGTAGTGAATTTACTTCTCAAAGACTTTAAAATGTAGACAGTTGCTATGAAAGCTTATAAAATGCTTCAGTGATAATTACAGTATTGTTATTGATGAAGTACCAATACATATATGATTCTAGGGTGTATTTAACAATTGTAAGTGCACGCTTGTCAGACAAACGTGATAAACAGTCACATTATTAATCGCGTGTATGTGTATACAGGTGTGTGTGTGTAGCAGCGGGCGGCTCTTCCTGGCGGCTCCTGGGGGCGTGTGTGCCGCTGACCAAGACTTCTGCAAGTAGCCTTCCCAAACTCTGGAGGGCCCCCAGCTTCAGCCTGTAAGACCCCCAGAGCCTGCTTAAGGGGCCCCTAGCATCTGCCTAGAGGGCTCCCAGTATCTGTCCAGAGGGATCCCAGCATCTCCTTAAAGGGCTCCTGGCAACTGCCTCAAGGGCCCCAGGATATTCCAGGAGACTCTAACACCAGCCTGGAGGGCCACCAAGCATCTGTCATGAATGGTCTTAACATCTGCTTTCAATACCTCGATATCCTGCTGCTCCTGCTTAGAAGGCCTCCAGCACCTGCCTAGAAGGCCCCAGAGATCCCTGGTACCTGCCTAAACGGCCCTCAATACCTGCCTAAAGAGCCACCAGTACCTGCCTAGAGGGTCCTCCCACACATGCTTGGAGGACTGCATGGAGGAACCTCTGAGCTTGCCTGGTAGGTGCTAAAGACCTACCCAAAAGGACACTCAACCGCATGGAGGACTGCAAGCGATTACCCTGAGACCCCCAGGATTCATAGGGACTATTTCCCTTCCCCTGTATACACTTAACTGACAATTAATTTGTTATAAATATTGTTTACGTCATTGGACAGACACAGTCACGGATATCATGAACTTCCTTTCGACCGGATAGGTTGAATAGGTAAAACCTGCAAATAATGAATGTCATGCACAAGAGAGACGCTTCACACCTGTGTAAACCTCTTCACCTGTGATCCTCACCCTGCAGAAGGTAAGTTTGAAAACGCAGCAACAGGTCCTAATTGTTTCAATCACTTTTCCATAACTTGATGTTAGTGTGGCATTGTTGTTACGATATTCTTAGGAATTAATAATTATATTTCTAAAGTTACGAGACAGTGAAAGGGATCACGTATAACCAAAAGTTAGTTTAATTTTTTTCAGACGATATTTTCAGAATGACGAAAGATATCAGTTTGAAGTTACAGACATAAATGGATAAAATTTCAGACAGAGTTAGCAGCGTCAACACCACCATGAAACACCTGTTGTTCTCTCTCCTACTAGGAAGGAAAGTTTCCTCCTCATATCTTTTATCAGATAATTAGGTCGAACCTAAGCTAACGCATTTGGTTATTAATCTTTGCATCTAAATCATTTAGACTCTAACCTAAGTAAGGTAAGGTTAGATTATGCTCTGCTTCGTACTGCTGTGCTCTAGGGGTATTAAACGAGATGCGAGAATTATTTATCTCCCAGTTTCCCTAAGGAAGCTGACGCTGATGTACGAGTAGGTATGGCTAAATTGGTCTCAATTAGCACTCATTGACGTTTGTATAAGAGAAAAAATGGGTACTTTAAAAGGTATTTCTTGTTGGTGACAAATTGGACAGTTTCTAAACTAATGATATTTGCAGGTTTGGTGTAGACAATGGCGTCAGGTTGGTTGTACACGGGTCGCTGCTGCTAAACGCTGTGCTGTTGCTGTATACTTGTGCCTCAATTGGCCGGCTACATCATACCAACACGCCACACCATACCCGCCATAGGACTTGCCCTCCGTTCTTCCAACTTCCTGGACGCAAATTTTGTTGGGCCTGAAGTAACAGAAGCTACTGAAGTAACTGGTTCAAACATTGTAGTTACCAGCCAGGAGCCTGTCCCACTGGATGTACTGTACCACTACCTGATGCCTTGGTTGAAAACCTCGGCAATGCTCAAATGAGGAACACATCTCATGGTGGGTGGCGGACACTGGGACATGCCAGAACAAGTGCCTCATGCTGGAGCTAGAAAATATGTGTCACAAGTAGGTAGAGAACAAGTGCCTCAAGCAGGTGTAGAACAAGTGCCTCAAGCAGGTGTAGAAAAAGTGCCTCAAGTAGGTTTAAAGAAGATACCGCATGAAAGTGGTGTACAGTTTAAGAAATGCCATAAGGTGGAGGTGTGAAGGTAGGTGGAACTACCCAAGAGAGCATGGAGGTGACAGAGCATTTAGTGGTGGAGCCCCTGGCCATAGAACCCTCTAATCCACCATTATGTACACGAAAGTATAAGACATACCAAGACCTGCTGTGAGATTATACCACCAAATCCCAGCGCCCTATTTTCTTCTGTCTGTTACCAAGGTCACGAGTCCAGTATCACCCACGCTGATTACACCTCCCTCAACAACCCGCAACCCCCCATCTCCCGCTGGCAGGTAGGTCTCGACAGCATCAGTAAACTAGTGGGCGGTTTAAGACAGTAGGTTGAGGTAGGCTTTGGTGGTCTATGAAGACGTGTAGTACAGGGGATGCAGGGATGAAGGGTGGGTTAGGGTGGTGTAGGGGACTCAGGGTGAATTAGGAATGGTGTAGGGGACTCAGGGTGGATTGCGATGGTATAGGGGACTCAGGGTGAGTTAGGGTGGTGTAGGGGACTCAGGGTGAATTAGGAATGGTGTAGGGGACTCAGGGTGAATTAGGAATGGTGTAGGGGACTCAGGGTGAGTTAGGGTGGTGTAGGGGACTCAGGGTGAATGAGGATGGTGTAGGGGACTCAGGGTGGACTAGGGTGGTGTAGGGGATTCAGGGTGGGTTAGGGTGGTGTAGGGGACTCGGGGTGTTTTAAAGTGGTGTAGGGGACTCGGGGTGGGTTAAGGTCGTGTAGGGGACTCAGGGTTTTGCACCCTTGTCGTCTTTTAGGTCTCGTCTTCTTGGCGTCATGATTCTCTTCAGTAGTTATGACCATTATACCAAAATCTAGGTAACCTGTTCACTGGATCAACAACATGGGTTTTTTTTCTTGTCTCTTACTTACCCTTTTTAATAGTTATTCCTTCTTTTGTCAAATGACCATTAGTTACGAACCTAAAACGCTATAAAAAACTCCATAAGACTTAATTTCTCAAAAGCTGAAGTATGATATTCTTTTCACAGGTGCAGTGTTATGGGTATAAGGAGCAAGACCTCGAACAAGACATGATTTGGCGGAATCCACGCGCATGTGGGTGGGATGTCACCTTCATGCTGGTCAAGAAGTTGGACATGTGAGGGCCGTGGTGACCCAATTTACTTTGGTTGGACTTGAATGATCAATCCGACACAATTACTCAATTTTAGACCAGGTGAGTAAAACCTCTTGTTATGAGTTCGTGAGGAGTTGAGATGAAACTTTACCGTTTATAAAATCCCAAAGCAAACACATTTATCCTCGTAATCTCGTGTACCAAATAGGGATACAGACGTAAACCAATTATTTTGCTTCCTTAACAAGGCATGGTGTTGTCGATGAACTAAATATCAATCGCTTCACCACCACAACAAAAGACCTTATATAATCAGTATTTTTACAGGAGAAATAGCTTCCCTGGATGGGGTAAGGAGCCCATTGTGTGCAAAAAGGATAGGCACACGGGCTCTTTGCAGTTATCTGTCAGGAGAACGCCAGACTGTTAAAATTATTAGAGCAATTCGAACAAAGCAGTATGTGTGATAACGTAGATATACCAAAGATAGCCATCTTGGCCAGAGAACGCCGTTTTGATAATAGCAGGGCCAGCCCCAGGTATAGGACGTATAGGCGAATGCTAAGGGCGCCATCGATGCAATGGGGCGCCAAACAACACAAAGAAAAAAAATAATAAATTGAGCTTGGATCTACATAAAAATATTGATTGAGACCTGGCAACACGGGTTCAGACAGTCTGTCAGACCTCGCCCTCATGTGCGTCACTCGTCAGTGTAATGTATATTTTCTTGATGCCAATTTAGAATTTAGTGGGTAACGTTAACTTTTTTGACTGTAAGAGATACAAAATTTAACCATCAGAGAAAGGATTAAGGATTGATATACAGAAAAATAATCGTGGCGAAACAACGTAAGTGGTAGAAACAGTGCACAGCCAAGACGGCATTACCAAACTTGTTTAATTTCGTTTGTGCTTCTGTTTTAGGATATAAGCCTGAATAGACAAATTATAATTGACACTAATGTCAAGTGAAAAAGTCTGGGCCTAACTGTCATTTTTGTATTATAATTTTACAGACTATATGTCACGGAATAGCGATTATTGCTGGGTTAAACTGTCAAGTGCCAACTGCTTGGTTATCATTTAATGCATAATGGTCGCACGGCCCTATTGTGTTTTTTTTTTTCAGATGCGCTTCTGAAATATTTTGGACCTCCTCCCCCTGGAAATCTTGTACCACTTACAGTCACCCTCTCCACTTCTGCACAGCCCAGTGACACAGTGTCAAGCTCCTCCAGTCCCTTCTACTTCGATACAGGCCAGTGACCAGTGTCAAGCTCCCCTGTCCCTTCTTCTTCTATACAGGCCAGTGACACAGTGTCAAGCTCCCCCAGTCCCTTCTACTTCTATACAGGCCAGTGACACAGTGTCAACCTCCCCTGTCCCTTCTACTTCTATACAGCCTAGTGACACAGTGTCAAGCTCCCCTGTCCCTTCTACTTCTATACAGGCCAGTGACACAGTGTCAAGCTCCCCTGTCCCTTCTACTTCTATACAGCCTAGTGACACAGTGTCAAGCTCCCCTGTCCCTTCTACTTCTATACAGCCTAGTGACACAGTGTCAAGCTCCCCTGTCCCTTCTACTTCTATACAGGCCAGTGACACAGTGTCAAGCTCCCCTGTTCTTCTACTTCTATACAGCCCAGTGACACAGTGTCAAGCTCCCCTGTCCCTTCTACTTCTCTACAGGACAGTGACACAGTGTCATGCTCCCCTGTTCTTCTACTTCTATACAGCCTAGTGAGACAGTGTCAAGCTCCCCTGTCTCTTCTACTTCTATACAGCCTAGTGACACAGTGTCAAGCTCCCCTGTCCCTTCTACTTCTATATAGCCTAGTGACACAGTGTCAAGCTCCTTCAGTCCCTTCTACTTCTATACAGCCCAGTGACACAGTGTCAAGCTCCCCTGTCCCTTCCACAGACTGGTGATAATCAGATGAGTACAACAAGGCTGCACCTATAGACCCTGTGGACTGGCCGTCTCTCCTGTCTATTAAGGAAAAAAACAGAGTTTGTGTGAAGAGGACCATATCAGATTAAGCAAAGTTTCACTTTTCCAAAACAAAAAGATTTGAGAATATGGCATCACGAGTATTTTAACAGAGCCTTAGTCAATGGATAAAAAATCAAAAGAAACTGGCTAATGTATTCAACGAAAAATCATAGTGTTTACTGTTTCTGTTGTAAAAGTTTTCTCATAAGGATTTCAAATTGAATAAAGAAGGTTTCAGGGATTAGAAAAATGCCAGCCACCTGCTCAAGACATATGAAAAAAACTGGAAACACACTACACATATGGCAACATGGAAGGAACTCGAGGTTCAACTTGCAAAAGGGAAAACAATAGATCAACAAGAGGTGGCACTTGCTGAGGATGAGAAGAACAGGTGGCGCCAAGTCCTTACTGGATTGGTGACAATAATTCAGTCTTTAGCTGAGAGAAATGTGGCTTTAAGGGGGTCCATAGACACATTCAGTAAACCACACAACGGCAATTTTCTCATAGAAGTGGAGCTTTTGCCAAATTTGATTTGGTTATGAAGCAGCAGGTGGAAAGTGGAGTAGGCAATTATACTCATTATCTTGCCAAAAGAATTCAAAATGAACCAATAAACGCCATCAGTGGAAAGATATTAGAAAAAATGGTGGAAGAAATCAAAGAATCAAAGTATTTATCCATCATTTTAGATTGCACACTGTTACGACCGTGTCTTATTTTTCTATTATTTTGTATAACATACTTCCATGTTGTTCCATATTATTCCTGTAATGATGTGTTATATTTACTATTATACAATCTAGTCACCTTACCCTGTGCTGTTAAGGTTTTAACTGTTATTGTTTGTTCAAGCCCATCTTATTTCTTCATTTAGTATTGTAACAAGCATTCTTTGTTTCTCTAACGACCATCTGCATCGATAAACGACCCATGTTTCACGGGCGTGTCGCACTGGCCGGAGCCAACCCTATATATAGTACTCCACCAGCAGACGGAGTTCAGTCCAGTCCTTTTGTCATTCAGTTCACGTTCTTTTGAGTGACACCCGTCACCTGTTACTTATACTTTATTTTATTTCTGTGTTGTTCCTGTCGCCACCAATGTGGTATGTCTATGTGAGTACCTATTCATGTCTCTTATGTGTCCATCAGTGCTTGCTTAGTTACATTTAAGTAATTCAGTGTTGTTTCACGATAGTTAATTTCAGTGTTAGTTATTTTATATGTTTATGCAGTGTTAACGTAATCCAATGCTTTATTTTTATTCTTTTGATGTTTCGATGTTTTAGTATCATTTGTGTCTTAAAGGTTTCGATAGTGAATCAATTTGTTGTGACAGCCTACGAGGCTCTTTATTGTGTTAAAATTTAATTAAATTAAATTCTTAAAGGTTTTCTTTATTTATTTTTATTCCCTTTTGATTTACTTCACTTTTTTTTTTTTGGTTACGCCTAGAACCTGGATATTAAAGTAAATTAAGAGACGGCGTAACAACACCTGATCTGAGTCACAAGGAACAGTTCTCTGTTATACTTAGGATTGAGTCACTGGAAGACACACCACAAATAAAGAAACATTTCATTGGGTTCCTTGTGGTAGCAGAGTCAACTGGGGCAAGTTTGTCAACCCTCATTCTTAAAGGGCTCTGCAGAGGGCAGTCGTATGGCAATGGTGCCAACATGTGGAGCAAGAATAAAGGTGTTCAAACCAGGGTGCTTCAGCAGAATTCAAGGACCTTATTTGTTCCATGTAGGGCCCATACCTTAAATCTACTGGTCTCTGATGCTGCGAAGAGCTCTCCAGATGCTACTGGCTACTTTGGATATTTGATGAAACTCTTTACGCTGTTTTCAACTCCACCCAAAGATAGGCTATCCATTTAAAGCATGTCAAAACCACTCTGAAATCATGGTCAGAAACCAGGTGGGACAGCGAAGTAAAAGGCATAGATGCAGTAAGATACCAGGCTGTGCAAGTCAGACAAGCACTTTTGGAGGTGAGGGAAACTATTGCAGATCCTGGCATTAAGGTTGAAGAAAATTCTTTGGCAGAAGAGGATGGAACCTACCGGTTTTCTATTTGCTCGGTAGTGTGGTATGACATCCTCAACAGCATTCAGCACGTGAGCAAGCTAATGCAATCAACCTCCATGCAACTAGATGTGGCTGTGGACCTGCTGAAGAAAACAAGAGATTCCCTTACCAGATACAGACACACTGTCTTTACTGGTGCAGACTACTGCTAAGGGGATACGCGAAGAGATGAATGTGGGAACAGTACTAAAACAAAAAAGGTTAAGATCAACAAAAAGGCACTTTAGTTACGAGTCTGTAGATGAACCTATCAGTGATGCACTCAAGAAAATGGCGATCACATTTTCTAATGTAGCAGTGGATGCAGCCATTTCTTCTCTTGATGAAAGGTTCCAGACCTTGAGAGAGGTGAATGCCAAGCTTAGGGCGCTACACAACTTCCTCAACATATCCGAAGAGGACCTGATACAGCAGTACGAAACAGTAAGCAAACATTCTTACATCCGAAGGGCAGTAACATATTGATGGCAGGGAATTGGCTGTGGAACTGCTATGAGTCGTTGCTATCTACACACCCCAACACCGAGATCCTCTACCTATAGGGTTTCAATGTACATCACAGAGAGTAGCTTGGCTCTGCAAGGGATGACCCAGGTGAAGCTGAGGAACATACAGGAGTACATATTTTACAGTAAAGTTAATATGCATTGATCTTGAAGTGAGGGAAGCAATACAACATGGGTTGTATAAGGTGAAACAATGGGACAGAAACAGTTGGGATCATTTTTTGACGGAAAATATATAATTACTGCAACGGTAATTTCCATCTATCCACGTGCCAATATATGATATAATGGATTTAATGGTACAATAAACGTAAAAGTATAAACTAAGTGTTACAAAAAATATTAATACTTAAAAAATAGATATTTTTTAAGAGATGAAGGAAGCGTAGTCTTTGCTCGGATGGGTGGGGGTAAGTTGTTCCACTTCCTTCACACCATGATATTTTATGGAGGTCTGGGACTGAGAGGAGCGCATGGGGAGTGGTCTTAGTAGCTCTGGGTGTCTTAAGTTGTATCTCTGATTATAATCAGAGAACTAGAAATAATTATTGTCAATCAAGTGATTGACAGATTTAGAAACAAATAGCAAATTGTTCGTTGGTGTGATCAAGATGCAAGTGGCTGTCATAATAGACGATTGGCAGACAGCAAAGTAAATTTTTATGAAAAACATATGACAAATGACACCTCGGAAGGTATCCTAACCAATATAATCAGAAAGAGATAACCTGATTCAACTACTTTCTAATGTTTGGGAAACACCCAGCCACTTGATTCTTCCTACTGGACTGTGTACATCTTGCAGGTGGTTTTCCTGACCCACTGAAATCAATTTTACTAAATCATCGACTCGGCATCCAGCACACAAGGTGATGGTATCCTGCATTCAAAGCTGTGTGAGCTAAATAGATGTAAATTGATCATTATCCGCTCAAATTACTTTGACATTATCATCCTGGCTTTAAATGTCTTAAACGTTTATTAGTTCAAGGTCTACAAGAGTTCTGGATACAATTTCAGGAATAATTGATTCCCGGCCACAAGATTGCAACAGTGTTTGTGAAAATGAAGTAGGCATGCTCCCATTACTACACGCTCTAAGTGGATGTAACACCACGAATTGCATTTATCTGAAAGGAAAGAAAACTTTCTAAATGATGCAGCGAATCCCGACATCATACAAGTACTAATTCAATTGTGTCAACAGCTTGAGAGTCAGTTTGATAAAACAGCTGAAACAGTTCAAAAAGTAATTAATGTTGCCCAGAATTTCATGTGTTTTGTCAATGACAAGTAAACTGGTATATATGAAGACCTGAACGATCAAAGGGCACATGCCGGATTTAGACCTGTGGAGGCCCATGGGCAGCCTTTTTGTGGAGGCCCCCCTCATTATAACTACCCAAGAGGGTGGGGTGGCGAGTGAAGCGAGCCTAAACATCTGGAAGTTCCGGGGGGCTTACAGCGCTCCCCAGGAAAATTTTGAAATTTGAACACTTCTTTGGAGAATTTTGAAGCCATATGCAGTTATATTGAGGAAATTAGAACATTGAGAAATTTTTAATTAACTGTAAATTTATTGATAGTGTACAAATTCCCAACACACACACACACACACACAAAAGTGAGACATAACTAGAGTCATTCATGTGGTTTCAAGTCGACCAGCCCTGATATAGCTACTACCGCACATGTGGAGGCCCCCAGATTGTGGAGGCCCCTGGGCAGCTGCCCACTTTGCCCACTCCTGAATCAGGCCCTGAAAGGGCAAACCTCTATGTCAGAATAAATCTTAAGGTTCACCCAGTCAAATTTTAGTACCCCCCAGCATAAATTGTCTCTAGATAGAATAATCTATTGAGAAAAAAAAAGTAAAACCTGCAGCTCACCGTGTGTACCACTAACAACAATTTGGGTCTAAGGGCTTTTTTATTGACCAAAATATCAAGACCTAAAGGCAATGTTTTTGATGCTTGTGTTTCTTAAGGGTAGTGTAAAATTTATTAATTCTTGAAAGTAAATTTTTACCTTAAAATTATTAATGAACAGTATCTCAAAAAAAGCATCTGTCCACACACTATGTGAAACATTTTGAGACCACGGATGATAGATATTGGGACATGCATTTACTTTAGTATATAGTT